ATGCACATAAAATTATGGTCCTCACCCTGAAACTCTCGAGTAGGCGAGATAGGTGACAGAGATAAGTTCTGATGTATATAAAAATCTAGTTCTTACCCCGAGACTATTCTATCTCAATATCAACTAGTGTGTGGTCTAAGATGCACGTAAAATTCCTCTGACCACATCGCTAAACATATGTCATGTTTGTTGATGTACTTTTGCATACCCATTACTTTATGCACCGACATGTTCATGTAATGAATGTGTGCAGTATTTTATAGTTATTATCATTGCACTGAGCTTGTGAGCTCAGTTTATTGAATGTTTTTTCGTGCACTGGTCAATAATGGATCGACGAGGAGTCGTACATATATATTTCAGATCAGTCGTTTTAGAGTATGTCTTGATTCTATTAGAGGGCATGCATTTTAAATGAACCTTGTGTTTGTTCGAGTCATAACTCTATTTTGATTTAAATTCAATAAGTGTATTTGTACTATTTGGGAGACTCCCATATTTTGTAATCTTGGATTATGGTCTTTTTATCTACGTTATGATGAATGATTATTGATGCTTTACAAATATTTTGAAAGCAATTTTTGGGTTGACCATTTTGGTGGTTCCATATGACATCATAATCCATGGATCTTCATGTCAGACTGGATTAGGGTGTTACATAGAGTGTATTTTCACCATTTTGGAAAACATGACAGTTTTGGGAGGATTTTCAGCTGATTCACGTGGGATTGTAAGGTATCATAAAGAACACCTTTTTCCTCATCTTTTTTTCCTTAACTTTTCTCCTATTTCATCTCGTTCTTGTTTATCCCTTCCTACCCACTCAAGGAATAACAAAATAAAAAGACTTCACCTTTCTTCATCTTCTTCTCTAATCCAAAAAATGTAGAGGTAAGATTCTAAATCTAGAGTATTGAGCTTCAAGAAAAGCTCACCATCTCCAAAAATGGTGTTCATGAAGTTTTGGGGGTTTTGAGCCCCAATGGCTCTTCCATGATTTATATCTAGTTTTTATATATTATAGTCATTGTTTAACATATATTCTCTTTCATGTTCATGTTGGAACCGTTTGGTGGGTTTTGGGTGGTGAAGAGTGGTGCAAGCACCCCCATAGAGCAAAGAATTGAGAATATTAGTTCTTGGAAGATCTAGAAAGATATTTAGGTATCTACGAGCTGAGATAACACACTTTAACTCTTATCTACTACTTTTAGTACATATAATCTAGCTTAACTTACTTGTATGGGGTGAAAAAAATATGTGGGGGCTTGGGAGCCTAATTTGTTCTTAGGATGTTTTTAAGTTAGATTTGTGTGAAAATGAAATATGCTCCTAATGACTTTCATAAACTTTAATAATCAACTTAGACCTTAAAATAATTATTTGGGGAAAGTTTAGGGGTGTTTCCCTAGTAAAACAGTGTGTTTCTAAATTATGGTATCAATGTTGTTCATATTCTAAGTGAAAATTTGGTTTTATGTGTCTCGATATTGATATTGAATGAACTTTTATTGATATTGGTCCCTTAGTATCGATATTGAGGGTTGCATTATCGATACCAGAAGCTTAGTATCAATACCATATGCTTGGTATCGACATCGATAGGCTGGTGTCCATACCAGATAAATTGATATCCACATCAGATAAACTGGTATCCATATAGGATGAGTTAGTATGCATACAAAAGGCTTGGTATCAATACCCAAAGTGGTTTAGTAACTTTAAGATGTCCAAGGGACTCAAAAGTGAGGTGTTTAATATCGATTGAGATCAAACATTTAGCTTGAGTATGTGAATTTACTAAAAAGCCTTTAGAGGGATGAAATTACCAAACACTACAAGAAAGTATACCTTTAATGACATACGAACGATGACACATGGTAATTTATGACTTGCAAAACACGTGTGTCATAAATAATTGTCATGTTTTTTAAAATCTGGACGATTTATGACTTACAATAATGTGTGTCATATTTATTAGTCATAATAAAAAAAAATCAAAAACACGGAGTACAATTTTAATTGTGTGTCATCTGTAAAAGTCATCTTTTAATTTCCCCCCATTATTTTCATCCTTTCCCGCTTCTTCCCCCTTTTTCTCTTTGCAGCAGTCCACTGGTTTGGAAACAAAATCGACGATACCCGACCCATCCCTGACTGGATAACGTCCTCTCCCTATCCGAACTCTCCCTATCAGTTCCCTCTCCATTTCTACTCTCCTCTATATCTCTTTGGTTAGGAAACAAAATTGATAGATTAAACCCTCTATTTAGGTTATCATTGATAGAACCAATCTAAATTTGTGCAGCTACGAGCAAATCGTACAAGAAGGGAAGCTGTTGGAGGTTAATTTTTATTTATTACGTATTATTTTGTTGCAATTTTTGAGGCAGAGCATTAATATCTGAGTTTTTTTGATTAAATAGGGGGAAGACTTGGACTTTGCTTATGATAGCATTTCAACATTCTCCTCGAGGAGGGACAATCAGGAGGCAGTTTTTGGAGCTAAAGAAGGATTAAAAGATATTAGGTATTTTTATTGCTTTATCATTTTACAACACTAGCACACGACATTGTGTCATTATTGGCATTTCCTTTAATATTTTTCTTCTTGCTATATAAAGAGATTAAGCATGATGCAACTCAAGATTAAGCTACTAATAACCCTGAAGACATTTAGCTAAGGGGTGGTATTGGTGTGATATTTTTATATCGCCTGGATGTATCTTTCTTGATGTCGTGTTTTCAGAGAGGATTATATATTTGTAGTGTACTCCAGAATAGCTTGTTATACTGTTGGATTTCTTTTTTTCTATAGAGATGCAACTGTAGCGTATAAAGATGAAGCCTTAGAGCTTCATAAACATCTTAGGCATTTGCAGTCTCAGTTTGATATGCTTACAGGTCAGGCTACAGCTTTGATCCATGGCAGACGGGCACGAGTTGCTGCTACATCTACCACCAATGGACACCTTACAACAATAGATGATAGTCTCTCAGAAAGGAACTTGCAGGTACGTAAATCTAGCCTATCTCTTGTCACTTTAAATATTTGAAATTTTTTATGTTTAAATTTGATCAAACTGGGATGAAATGTATATCTTTGAGTTGTTGTTTATGTTGCATGACTTGGTTCTGCAGCACAAAGTATAAAAGGAATTAAATGAAAATTTATCTTAAAAGATAGTTTTTCCTTTAATTTTTTTCATAGCTTTCTTCTCATAGGAAACTGTTTATCTGCTTTAACATTGAAGCAGTATTTATCCCTCTTTTTTCTCTATGATTTAGATGAAAGAAGTTCTTGGAAAAATAGCATCTACAGCACAAGAGCTGGCACATTACCATTCTGAAGATGGTACTATTTTTGTTTTTTATTATGTTAAGTTTTATGCTATTATGTTCATTTCAAAATGATGCATTTGATTTTGATCTAGTTGTGTAAGAGGCTGATCTCAGTATGGGTTTGATTTACGTCAATGAAGACTGCCTCTAACCCTGCCTGGTTTATAATGCTCTGCCTCATCCCTTATACCCGTTTTGGAAGCCCATCAGTTTGCTTGTGTTACTTTGAATCTCATTGTCTTCTGCATTACGTTTGTAACTGTGTATTTGGTTTTTTTCATGGTGATAATATATTTATGTTGTTGCCTTGCTGGTTCTGAAAAAATGTCAAATAACAAATGGATATAGGAGCTTGAGATTTTGTGTGCTTAGCATTAGGGGAATGAAAGAATATAGGGAAACTTTTCTAGTTGCATGCTTCTTTAACTCATGATGTTTAAATGCAGAGGAAGGCATCTACTTGGCTTATTATGACTTTCATCCGTACTTGGTTGGAGATTCATCCTGCATAATGGAGTTAAATAAGTGGTTTGCCAAGCAACTAGACACAGTATGATCTGGAAATATCATTTTTTTAATCTCATTTCTTTCTGCTGCATAGTCTTCAACAATTTTATCATTGACATATCATTTTTTTTTGCTAAGGATCATTTTTCTCCCTAAAGTGTAAAACTCAGGGAAACAATTCCTTGAAAAACTTTCAGGAGAGATTAGAGGTGTGCATCCAGTTGGTTTGGTCAGTTTGGTTTTTATACTCCTATAACCGAATTAACTGGTTAAGCCGTCTAAACTGAATTAACTGGTTAAGCCATCTAAACCGAGTATATTGAGTTGATTTTATTGTTAAGACCGAAATAACCTAACCAAATTGAAATAACTGCATAAACTGAACTAATACTTTTTTTTTCCTTTTTAAGATTTATTTATTTATAAAATAAAAAAAAATCATTGTCAAATTAAACATATATGTAATTAATCAAATTAATTGGATAATTGGGTTGAGTTATTTCATGTTTGTATATTTAATTTCATATTTAGATTAAATTAATTAATTAGATATTTAAATTAATTATTTGGTTAACTCAATTGTGTTTGTATTTTAATTTTTAGGTTGGGTTTATATTTCGAGTATAGTTGGGTTGGGTTTTATACAGGTATTGGATATTTGAATATTTGGATGGGTATGAATATAAGTTTAGGGTTTATTTATTAATTAAAAATTAAATCGGTTTATTTGGATAAAGCTTACTAAATAAATCAAAAAACCAAATAAATTGATTATTTTGGTTAAATTAGTTCTGTTTGTTCGGTTATTCTGGCTTAATCAACTTTTTCCTCACCCATAGGGGAAAGAATTTAAGAGTACGAGGCAGAAAAAGAAATCCTTCCCCAATAGAGAGTAACAAAATGAAGCATTTTAATTTAAGCAGATTGTATATCATGTAATTCCTCTAATTCATTTGCATGGACACCACTCTATAAAGTATATAGTATGTAGTTTGGGCAGCTCACAAACTGGAATAGTTGCATGTAGATTACCATCAGCCTCTTATCTCCATATGACAATAGTTTTATTTGGATTTATTTGTAAAACCACATTAGTACTGAGAAATTGGATGGATGTGGGACCTGAGATCAATTCTTATATTTGTATATGAAACATTTATAATTCTTTTGAATGATTTGAGAATCTACTGCTTATTTTTATAAAGACATTTACTAGATCTATGTGTCTTATTTCTAGTTGATTATTCTTGCATATACATGGTGTATTTGTATCAGATTATTGCTTCTTGGAATATATGATTCTTAATCGCTTTGTTCTTATCTTTTTCAACCAAGGCTGATTATTTTCCATTTTTTTATTGCAAATATATGTTTCTCTACTGGAATATCTAAACACTGCCTCTCTTGCCCCAAAAAAGGATGATCAAACAAACAAGTATCATTAATCGTATCCCTGCAACTAAGGGAAGTTAATGTATGCAATCATTAAGAAAGCAGCTTGGAACCTTCAGTTTTTTCTTTTCTAAATAACTTCACGTTGTATTACAGATTGATTCATGGAGTTCTTCAGCTACCTGCGAACTCAAACTTGATGGTTGATGAAACACAACTAGAATTAGGAAGCCTCAACTCCATTGGAATTGAGAATACAAAGTTGCTAAAAAATCTGATAGAGTTTCAAAAAGTAAGCTATCACTTGGTTTGTTGAAACATGAGTGCATGTTTGTGCATAAATATACTGGACCAAGGAAGGTGTTTTTGGAAGTTTAATGTGAATATTAGGAATGTGTTTGTTCTATATATTGCAACTAGTTTTAATTGTTACAATTATTTTCAATTATTTCTTGTGTACACGCCCGGATGGCGAGGGCATATTAGTAGAACATTATTATGCCGTGATATTTTGTATCGACATATTATTACAATATTTTTGATAACTTAATGTGAATATATTGTATGCAAATGGATTGCTTATATATAATATGATATATATATATTTAGTATTATGAGGCATTAAATGTGATTTAGTTTGATTATTTTCAATCTATAATATGTATATATATTATATAATTTACGAAATACAATCACGACACAAGAATGTGTGTCATCTTTTTTAATGACGTGTGCTTCAATGACACGCAATGTAAGTCATACATACGTGTCATAAATTTATGACACACAAATCTGTGACATCTTCATTTATGACGGGGGCTTCAATGACGCGCAATGAGCGTCAAAAATGCGTGTCATAAATGCGCGTCAAAAATTTATGATGCACAGTTGCGCGTCATCTTAAATTCATGTCGGTGGCTTCAACGACAGGCAAATATGTGTCATCCGCACCCATAGATGACACGCAATGCGCGTCATTAAAGGGGTTTTTTCTACTAGTGAAATTTCCCTTATGGGTGTAAGTGAATAAAATAGGCTAGATGAGGAAGAGTTTGAGTTACATATGGGTTATATAATGATATGTGATGCTTAGATCTATAACGAGAGCTTAATAAGGAAGATCTAGTAAGAATAATTTAAATAACTTATATCACATTTTTTGGTTGGGAAGTATTGGTACTCTACTAATTCGGTTTCGATAATGTTCCTCAGGTATTGAAACCAAAAGTTATGGTATATATAATGTCACTAAGTTACAAATATCAATAGCCAAAATTGGTATCAATACTTACATGGTATCGATACCCTAAGGAATAAGTATCAATACGTTAAGTAAGAGTATCATACTAGATTATTTCTACCCAAACATCGAATGTAAAAAAGGTATCAGTACCAAGGGTGAGTACTGTTAACCAACGGTCAGTATCGATACTAAAAGGCATATTATCGGTATTATTAGACTGAAATGGGCAAGACGCCTCGTTTCAGTTTAAGAACTAAAGATGTAGTCTAAGTCTACCAAAACCTGTCAATAAAGCTGACAAGTGAAAACATTGATTAAATTATGTGATAATCATAAGAACCTTATGAAGTAAGATTCCATAAGACATACATTGTTTGATACTCAAGAAACAATAAGGACACCGTATTTACTCATATATGATGATAACATGTAAGTCATTCCTCCAATTCAAGGGTGAGTTGAGGGAAAGTACGATGAGAGCGACAAGAGAGTTATTATTTATTAACCAGCTGCAAGTCAAGTATTTGGGTAGTAATCATATACCAAGTGGGTAGCGATGAATATAATTGTCTTAAGGTCATAAAACACTAAAAGACTAACAAACCCTTGCATAATGCTAGTTATTAGCTGAAATACTTTAAATGCCCTAATGTACAATTTATTGAAGTGTTTGGCCTACGAGCATCCTTTTAAGTTTATGTGTATACGACGATCATTTTGTTTCCTAAAAATATCAAAATATATCCAATTTAGTGCCAAGGCACTTAAAATTCTATTCGAGAGTAGACTTTGATGCTAAGTGATCCCAGAGATATCCTAAGTACTCTAAAGTAGTAGATTAGTCAGACGTAGGCACCAATGCTATGTGACCTCAAAAGAGACCTAGGTATTAGCAATGAGGGCCCTTCAGGATGAAGATTCCGATACTAAGTGACATAAGTCTTATTTTGGTTACCTTGGGTAGGCTAGAGAAGTGTAAGTCCTATATATTAAGTGACATGAACTACACCATGATGCCATCCCATGTTTGTATTTAATGATTATGTTTTGCATATGATGATGCATAATTGCATGATATTGTGGTTAAAGACCTATTATATGCATGCTCAAGGAGATTCCCTCATTTATGAACTAAGGAAAGCATGAGACTTATACCATGGTGATAGTTGATGTACTTTGGATAGATGGTACCACTGTATGGTTATGTGTAATTGACAATCGTCTTGTTTGCTAGAAATATTCGAATATATCCAAGTTAGTACCAAGGCACTTAAAATGCTATTCGAGTGTAGGCTTCGATGCTATGTGACCCATTAGGTGTCCGAGGAGTGGACTATACTTGTTTGTATGCTTATTTTATGAATACATGTAGTATGGTAGAGTAATTGTGTGGCACAGGGATTACGAGATCAGAATCTATAATGTGTTTTTGTTTGTAGGTTACAAGTTACGTAAAGTGCAATGGGACAATGATATCACCAAAGAAGTCACAATAGAGTACCTGAGTACAGTGATGACGGCTTAGTGGCCATGTAGAGTTCACGATATAAAATGAGTCAACTTATAATAATTAATTTCTTTATTTTATTTATCGAGTTTCTAAATTAGGGCTCGACTTTTGTAAATTGTTATGGTTTCATACCTTGTGTAAATGTTTTAAAAGTGAATATGGTTTTAATGAAAAAATGGTTAGTCACGTTGGTTATTCCGTGTGACACTCAATTATGTGAGACTTAGGTATTACAAATATAATTATTAAACTATATATTTCTTTTAAATATATTAAGAAATAATTGTGATATAAAGATATTATCATTAGTTAACTTTCAATTATAAAAAGGTAAATAAATTTTGTGTAATAAAAAGTTTGGGTAAACGAAAAGTTTAGTCACCTTCATTTTAATTTTATCTAGTTTTAATCATTATTTAAAAAGATACGTTTCAATCATTTTGTGGGTGTTTAAATCCTTTGAATTTAAAGTGTCTCTTTGAGTTTTGCATGATATATTAGAGGAGGAAGTTAAATGAGCAATCTTCTCAATGAACCCTTCTAAAGCTTCGGGGTGAGATGGTTTAGATGCTTTCCTTTATCAGTAAAATTGGGATATTGTTTGGCTTTCGTAATCCAGCTTTTCTGAGATTGTTTTATGAAAGGTGAAGTTCCAAATGAGGTAACCGTACTCTGCTAATTCTTATTCCAAAGGTGCTTGTCCCGGAGAATTTTACACAATTTAGACTGACAAGCCTTTGTTCTGTCCTTTTAAAGGCTATATCAAAAGTGGTGGTTAATCGTCCGAAGCCTTATCTTCCTGATTAGACATCTGAAAGTCAAACAAGTTTCACCACTGATAACATTATTATTTATCAAAAGTTGTTCATTCTATGCAACGAAAGAAGGGTAGAAGCGGATGTATGGCAATTAAAGTTGATATAGAGAAAGCTTATGATATAATGGAATGGGATTTCATTTATTATACCCTACTTGATATTGGAATTCCAGATGGTCTCCATCATCTTATCATGAGTTGTGTGTCATTTAAGACAACTCAAATTCTTGTGTATGGAGCGGTTGTCACAATCTATTCATTTGGCGATAGAAAATTGAGATTGGAAACCGATACAACTTTCTCAGAATGGTCCCCTTCTATCACATCTACTTTTTTTACTAATGATCTTTTATTGCTCACGGAGGTGGTTATGAAGAAACTTGATGTTATTCGGAAACTACTTGATTTCTATTATAGCTCGGCACATCAGGCGAGTTTGGCAAAAATGAATTTTTTTCTAAGAAAGTTATGGAACACGCAAAAGTGGATATAAATGAAGGTTTCTAGTTCTCATGTATAGAGAATCTTGGGTAGTACTTGGGTTTACCTTTTTTACACAATAGAGTTTTTAATACCCTAAAATTTTTGTTAGTGAATAAAATATAAATTTTGAAAGTTTAGTGGCCAATATATAAAATTAGTAAAAGTTTAGGGACCTAAGAGGTTATTTTTCCAAAATAATTTTTATCCCATAAGTGAATAGGTCACCCCAAGAATGATGTTTTGGTAGGAATAATATTTTTTGATCCAAAATTTTTGTTAAAAGCTAGAAAGTGAGAGTCCGGTAAAAATTCGATAAATCGGAACGAATAATAATTTTGAGGAAATTTGGATGATATTAAATTAAGCTTAAAAATATTATCTCCACATTTTAAAATAATGGAAAATATGGATAATTGGTTTTGAGAATTTATTTTCATGTTTAATTTTGACCGTTGGATACAAATGGAAAGATTGAACTTTGTAGAAAGTTGCATGGATAAAGTTGTCAATGGTATAATATTTTGTTCATCTATGACTTTGGAAGATGATAACCAACATGTGGCTTGGTATGGATGTAATTATCAAGTTTCATTAATGGTAAAATTGTCATTTTCTAAGTAAATAAATTTTAATTTCATTTAAGTTTAATACATGACAAATTAACATTAAATTAATTAGAAATTTCGTGAGACCAAGCTCATATTCATCCTCCATTTCCGTCCACTCCAACCCTAGGTGAGAGAAATATAATTTTTAATTTTTAAGTAATTTCTTTTGGATTTTAGATCGAACACTAAAATAGAAAATTATTCTATTCAAAAACCACCATTATTTGGTACCATTATTGAATGCTAATCTTGCTTGAATGTCAAGTTCCAAAATTTTAGAGTTTATGTTCATGTTAGGGTTTTATGAATTGATGGATTTTGAGATTATTAAGGTTGTAGAATCATTTTCAAGCTTGTTTTATGATCAAAACTCTTAGAAATGCATATATGATTTTTGGCCTAAACCCTAAATTAGGGAAAGTTTATGATTTGATGAAATTAGGTTAAGGGTTTAATTATAGAAGCTTTGAAATATTAACTTGAGGTTGATTTCATGTTTGACTCAAATTGAAATCAAGTGAAATCATGAAACACTAGCCTTAAAGCATTCGACCTAAGCAATAAAAGGTGAGAAAAATTATGGAAAATTATATAAGGGTTGGAAATGATGTAGAAAGGATTCTACAAGCCTTAGAAAGTTATAGGGATCCTTTTATAATTTTATGAAAGTTGAGGGACCTATTTAGTAATTATGGATAATTATGAGATCAATGTATAATTGTTTAAAAGTTGATGGACTATGATGGAAATTAATGTTAGAGTGTTGAAATTGATGTTAGAATGTGAAATTGGATTATTTTGGAAAGTTGAGGTTTAAATCACAAATATGGAAAAGTTGGGAAATTAAGTGAAACTTTTATGTGAAGTTTGGATAACTTTGGATAAAAAGGAACTTGAATGGTCAATTTGAAGTGTTAAGGTCAACATTTATGTTGTGACATGGAATTTGTATCAAATGAGCATCGAAAGATTTGTAGGAATGTATTTTCTAATTTGTGCTTATGTTAGTAAAATTCTAACGTGGTTTGAATTGTATAGTTTTGTAAATGATGCTCAATTAGATTGTGTACTTGAAATCAAGATCAAACAATATTAAAGCTAAGGAATATATAAAGGATGATGATAGGGAAGCGGTGGTGAATTAATGAACGTTGCTCATGTTGAAGAATCAAACCTAGAAAGCTCTAGACTCAATGAAGAACAAAGGGGATGAATAGGGGAAGATGGCAGCAAAAACTAGGATTCTTTAGGGTATGGTTTAGGTACTGGAATCAAGGCAATAAGGTTAGAACAAAAAAAAACAAAAGATGCTTGATGGTGCAGATGGATTTATGGAAAATAGATGGATAGATGTCCTATCGAACCGTCCTGGTCGTAATGAAAAGGCAAACTCGATAAATGGCTCTAACCAATCCTACTAGTCGTGATGAAAAGGCAACTTGGAGTGTGAAGATTAATCTCGCTCACAAGAACTTGAAAGAACTCCAGTAGAAAAAACTTCAAAGGCACAAAGCAATTAGCACTTGCAAAAACAAAATCTCGTTGTATTATTAATCAAAGAAATCTGATTTACAAAGTTGAGTGAAGCCTCCTTTATATAAGGGGTGAGTTCTAAAGGTCCTAAATAACTAATGAATAAAATGATAACAAACTAAACATGTCTTAACTCTAATTCCTAATAAAATAGTAATAACTAAAAATAATTTTTTAACTCAACCTTAATCCCTAATAAAATAATAAATATAATCCTAAAAGATAATGTATCATCCTATATTAAATTATAATACAAATAATCAATATAACTATTGAAAATTCGTAATATTTACAAAAATCACGTATTAATCTCGTATAACAATTTCTGTATGCGTTGTCTTCAGTAAAATGAATGTATCTTGAGTTCCCAATATCATATTGATGTAATTCAAGAACCATTGGAAAGATAAGAGACAGACAGTTGTATCTGTAGAATACATATTGGCCAAATAAGATTAGGATCCCATTCAAAAGTTCATCGCAAATATGTTTCTATTCTGGTCTTCTTTTTCAATGCTTGGAAGAGTTATTACTTCTTCCTTTGATGTGACCCTTGTGATGCATATATCATCATCCCTTTCTTAAAAATATTCAACCTCAAATTTAAAACATTAAAGGAAGCAACACTAGAATCTTTTAATGATTCATTCACATTATGCTTATCGAATAGATATGTTTTGAATCTTTGATACTTTGTTCTTCTAATAGGTTCGAGTATAAACATTAGTCCAAAGAAGCATGTATTATGGAATCTGGTGCATGTATCATTTCCCCACTCCTCAAAAGGATTCATCCTCGAATTTTAAAATCCAAGAGAAAGAGAATTAGACGTGTTGAAAGGAAAACTTGTGAAACATTTACCAGGATCAATGTGATGAGTCTTTATGCGTTTTAGTTGAGGTTTCTTCTTTGTAGGAACTGATTTCTTGTAGTTCTAAAAACCTTTTTTGTATACAAGTCTTGTAATATGATGTTTAGCTTGAAATTCAACATAGAGCCGACCACTGTTGGCTTTCTGTATGATTGCTTCAAATAATTTCTCCATGGTTTTATTCGTGTGTGGCGAGAATGAGTGTTTAAAACCTGTCAACTGGTTTGTTAAAGTAATCCCTTAAGTATCCTAAGTGTGGTTCATGAATTAAGAATTCTTGGGAGGAGATTTTTGGACTGTAGAACTTTCATGGTAGTGCATCATCTACTGTGTTTTGCTTACCTCGGTCTGTTACGTACTTAAAAGAGTTGTGTTTAATATGGGTGATAACTTCAAGAGTCTTACCTAATAAAAAGGAGAAGAAGTGCGTTACAATAACATTAAAATGAGTAATAAAATACTCACCTTTAGACTCTCATAAATCGTGACTCTTCATTGACATGGCATAGTGATTATGGCTTTCAGGTGGTAACCCGTCAGGAAGGTTACTTAGCACAATTCGTCAACTCTTGGCGATGGAGGATGGTGTAGGCTAGTCTCGTGATATTTTTACTTTTCATCATTTACATGGATTCCCTGTGCACGAACTATAAAGCGTATGGAGTTATTCAGATCTTGTTTTCTCATTAAGATGACATCACGACTAAGGTTGTCCTGGATGTAGCCTTTTTGTAACAAATCTAACTTTTTGGTTTCTTCGAGATTGTATGTTTGGTGAGGTATGATGGAACCTTGAATTGATTTGTTTGGTGTTATTTTTCTCTCTCTAATGGTATTCCTTCAGGCAGATCACTTAAAACTTCTCGAAAATCCTGTAACAAATATGAAATCACACTAGGCAAATTCTTGTTAATATTAGGAATCGAAACAATTGATTCCCTAAAGTGAACAAGGATGGAAGACTATTTGTAAAGAATGTTCTATCTCAATTATTTTATGCTCACACATAGATTTTGAGTCACTTTTTTCTTCTAACAATTAGGTTCACTCACCTCTTATGGGACATTATTCTTTTGGCTTTTGTAACTAGTGACCTCTTTTGCTATTGCCTCTTTCTCAACTTTTTCAATTTTTGCTTTCCCTACCTCCTCATAAATTCTCATTTGATCTTAAGGGGTTAGAGGTGTGTCATTATTTGCTGATCGTTGTTTCTCCTTGTCAGGTTTGTCATCTCTCCGGCCTTTTTAAAGAAGGTGGAGTAGAAGATGAGGAAGGATTTGAAAGATTACCTTGGTAAGAGGATGAAGTACCTTGGTAATGTTCTCTAAATCGGAATCTCCTTTGGATTTGTGCTTCGATTGTCATTGCTTTCTTTAGTGTATATTCAAGGTTTTTGTATCCATGGAGGTCAAGTAGATCAGTGATGTTTGAGTTCAAGCCGAAGACGAATCTTGACACATTGTGCTTTTCTTATTCGGTTATGTTTGACCTATTGAGTAAGGACTGCATCTCCTTGTAGTAGTATTCAACTGAACTTCTATCTTGTCGAAGTCGGTGTAGTCATAGTTTAACCTCTCTTGTATAATGTGTTATTAAGAATCACTTCCTCATGGTTTGTTTGAGGTCTGTCCAAGAAGTGATTGCTTGAATTTGGAAGTTCTCGATCTTTTTCCTTGTTTGTATCCACCAAGTTTGAGCATATCCTCCACAACAACATAGGCAATGTTGGGTCCCAAATCCGCTCCTGTAAGCAAACAAATAAAACTATTGTGAAAGTACGTGCCCGTGTAAAGCATTAAAATAAGTTGTATTGAAAAACAAAATCACTAACTGCTTTGACCCATGGAAAATGAATTCCATAAAAGGCTTGTTTGCTAACACTAGCCCTATTCGCAGTTGGCATGTTTAGCTTGTTTACTTATATAGTTATCTTTCTTCCCAATCAACCAATCAAGGAACAACTACGGAACCATGACATAGGCTTTGTGAGTCTTCCTTAGTGAGCTTTCAGGCAACAAAGGAGAGTTCAGAAATGAATTGCATGGTGATGAGGGGAACTTTTTTAGCTTGGGGGCAGTCATGGTATGTGAACATGATATCAAACTTTCCTTCCCAACCGATGTACCTTTCTGGATCGTTGTCTTCTTTGAAAGACGGGATCATGAAATTTGGTTTTGCAAATATTTCAGATGCTTGAAAACGTGGTTGTTCTCACCGGGGTACCAAAAGTTCGGCATTGTTTGGTTTTGGATTATGGTTTGGTAGATCCAGTTGTGGTTATTATCGTTCTCTCACGGTATTGTTAAGTTCATCAAATATTTTAATTTGAGTCGTGAGTAGGGCAAGTGCGGCTAAGATATCCGTAAGTGTCTTGTTGTTATTGTCGCCCATCCTAAAATCATAAAACTCAACAGAAATTTTTCAAGTAAAATAAAAATGAAAGAAAGAAAATTCAACAAAGTAAGAAACCTCACAAGTCACTCCAAGAAAGTAACACAGTGAGAGGAAAGTAGGTCGATCTTGTACTCTTTAAAACTCACTTTACGAAGTAGTCTTCCACAGTTCGTATCGGAGTTTAATTACTAGAAAAGGCAATAATAAAACCTAAAAGCTCTAAGAGGCCAAACAAGGGTTAGACTCCAAGAGAACGAAAATGCAAAGAAGGAAGAAGTATACAAACTTTTTATTCACACTAACACAAGAAAGATAATGTGTTAGATAATACAAAAGAACAATAAAAAGGAAAAAAAAGAACCTAAAGCACTAAGAGTTAAAGAAAAAAAAAAGAACCAAACCAGAAACCTAGAAAACGCTGGATCAACTTGAGCAATATTTTTAAGGGGCTTACCGATGTCCAATTTTTTTTGAATAATTCTTGAATGTCTTTCGATGCATCGAGAAACCACCTGTAAAATTTCATAACCAAATACCTTCAGTAGTGTCCAGTAGACTCTGTTGAACGGTGAGTCCTCAAACAATCTGTTTTTCGTGATCACTTTGTTCGAATGTGTTTTTGATCTCCACAAATTCTATTTTTTAATAATATTCAATATATGAAGTTTCAATATGGATATTTTCACCAAGAAATTCCTCTTGTATAATTTTCAAGAAATTCGACAAGATTCTAGATCGAATCTGCTGATGAAACTTGAATGATGTATTTGAAGGCTCTAATGAACTCCAATTGGGGTGAATTTTAGACTGGAGATTACTCTTATGATGAATATGAGATCTGAAAAAAAAATAAGCCCTAAGTTTATTCGTTTGCAATATTTTAAAATTTTGGCTTTTTTTTCATTTTTGTTGTTGAAAAAAATAGCAAACTAGCAAGAAGAAATCGAATCTAAATTAAAATTAAATAAAAAGAACCTGAAACGATATATCTTTTGTGAACTAGCTCTGTTGGGGTACCTTGACAGTTTTGTATGCAAAAACAAGCAAGATTGCTTGCTTCTTTCCAAGAATTAGCCCAAATATGATACAAAATGATAGGGAAGTGGTGGCGGATTAATGATTGTTGCTCTTATTGAAGAATCAAACCTAAAAAGCTGTAGACTTGGTGAAGAACAATGGGGATAAATAGGGGAAGGTGGCGATAATAGCTAGGATTCTTTAGGGTTTCTTTTAGGTACTGGAATCAAGGCAATAAGATTAGAACAAAATAAACAAAAGATAAATAAATTGAAAATAAAATAAGATAATAAATAAATCAAAAGATAACTCTTATTAAGGTAGACGGTAAAGATGATTGATGGTGCGAATGGATTTTTAAAAAAAATAGTTGAATAAGTGTCCAATCGAACTGTCCTAGTCTCAATGAAAAGGCAAACTAAATAAATGGCTGTAACCAACCCTGCCGCGATGAAAAGGCAAATTGGAGTGTGAAGATTAATCTCCCTTGCAAGAACTTGAAAGAACTCCAGGAGAAGAAGCTTCGAAGGCACAAGGCAATCAACACTTGCAAAAAAATCTCTCATTGTATTATTCATTAAAGAAATCTGATTTACAAAGTTGAGTGAAGCCTCCTTTATATAAGGGGTGAGTTTTGAAGGTCCTAAATAACTAATGAATAAAATAATAACAAACTAAACATGTCTTAACTCTATTTTCTAATAAAATAACAATAACTAAAAATAATTTTTTAACTCAACGTTTATCCCTAATAAAATAATAACTCTAATCCTAAAAGATAATGCATCATCCTATATTAAATTATATTGCAAATAATCAATATAAATATTGAAAATTCGTAATATTTACAAAAATCACGTATTAATCTCGTATAGGAATTTCTGCATGTGATGTCTTCAGTAAAATGAATTTATCTTGAGTTCCCAATATCATATTGATTCAATTCAAGAACCATTGGAAATATAAGAGACAAACAGTTGTATCTCTAGAAGACATGTTTACAAAATAAGATAAGTATTCCATTCAAAAAGTCGTCATAATTCTGTTACTATTCTGGTCTTCTTTTCCAAGGATTGGACTAGTGGATCATTTGGAAGAGTTATTACTTCTTCCTTTGATGTGAGCCTTTTTATGCATGTATCAGATGAAATGTGAATTTCTAAGGAAGGTTGAAAGTTAAGGACACCAGGTGAGTGCATATTTAGTTTGTATTTATGTTATCGAATAAAGATTTGCTTGCGATGAGCCAGTGATGAAGTTGCTATGGTAAGAAGTGACTCATAATGTTGTATGCCTTTGTGATTTATGCATATATGTGCATTTGGTGAGCTAATAGAATTAGTGAATAAGTTGAAAATGCAAATTAGTGAAATCTGCCTAGAGTTGTGATTTGAACATTAAGTTTAGAAAATCACCATAAATTCTAAAATATGTTTAGAGGATGATTTTTGTACTGTTGGATTCATATATCATTATAGTTTTGTTTAAAACAAATGGATATTGATTTCGAGAAGTATACAAAAATATATGAATTTTTAATCGAGGATATGTCATAAAATAGGGCAGAAGATTCTGCTCAACACAGCTTTTGTAAGTAAACTTTGAAAATTCACTATAAATTGTACATGCATGAAGAAAGCCATAACCGAGTTTGTTTCTAAATGCTTAACATGCCAACAAGTTAAAGTAGAACATCAAGTGCCTTTAGGACTATAGAAATTATTCAGTTTGGGTGATTGCAGATAAACTAACCAAGTCAGCACACTTCATTCCAATTTGAACAAATTATTTTATGAATAAACATGTTGAGTAATACATTTGAGAGATTTTTCAAATGCATGGAGTGCCTATATCGATAGTTTCAACTAGAGATTCGAGATTCACAATAAGATTTTGGGAATCTTTGCATAAAGCTTTGAGAACTCGACTTAATATCAGCACTGATTTTTATTATCAGACAGATGAACAATCTGACATGACCATTTAAACTTTGGAAGATATGCTTAGAGCACATGTAATTTAATTCAAAGGTTCATGGGAGAAGTATTTACCTTTACCTGAGTTTACTTATAACAACAGTAATCAAGCAGGTATCAAGATGACTCCATATGAAGCATTATATGGAATAAAGTGTCGAACTCCTTTGAAGGAGAATGGTATGAGCTTAAGAATCATAATATTGTGGGCCCTGATTTAATCAAGGAAATTGAAGATAAAGATAATATCATTTAAGATAATCTTAAGTTTGATACTGATGGAAAGAAAGAATGTGCCTCCGTTAGAAACTATTTCTTTAATTCCTCATAATTCGATATATAAATTTTTTTATGGATAATATTGATATCCATCAGACTTAACTTCAAAGACTTTAGTTTCTCCTTTTTCTTCCTTCTTTATATTTGACAAACATTTTTCATCCTTCCTTTTAAGATCTTTAATTCGATCCAGTAGAGTAGGTTTCAACTAAAGTTCTGCAACTAATACACCATTATTTTTCATTGACATTTCTATATGCAATGATCTTAAAGCTGAGAATATCTTCTGACTCAAAGCATCATCAACCACATTAGTCTTTCCTGGGTGGTAATTAGTAATAACATCATAATCTTTGTGAAGT